CCTCCTCCATCCCTCTGTGCCCCAGATTACCTCCCCACCTCCACATCATCCCTTCCCCAACATCCCCCTGTGGTTCCATCCACCCATCCCATTACCCTCTAGGATCCTCTCCCCAACACTCCCCCAGGATCCCATCCACCCCGTCCTCATTACCCCCTAGGATCCCATCCATCCCTTCCCCAACACCCTCCTAGGGCTCCATCAACCCGTCCCTACCCCTCCCCCGAAGCCCTCCCGACGCCCCTTCCCCCTCCCCATACGCACAACCACAACCTCCCTCGTTGTCCCCTCGGCCCTACGTTCCCATCGCGGTCCCTGGCTGTCCGATCCCGGCTGCTCACCCCGCCAGCGCCCCGCCGCCGCTCAACACGCTGTGTGCCAGCGACGTCCAGATGTTCCGCCACTTCCAGCGGTTTCGCCGAGCCGAGGGCGGCGGGGGCATCAGCCGCTCCACCCCGCGGTTCAACAAGCGGAAAGCGGCGAAAGAACCGGCGACCAGCAGCAAGTCCGGCCCCAGAGCCATGGGCATCCGTTGCCTCCCATGGGGGACACCGAATGCGCTGACCGACGGCTCCGCCTCGCCCCGTAGCCCCCGCCCCGGGCACCGGCACCGCCCCGGGCATCGCGTCGCCTCGCCCCGTTACCGGGTATCGCCGTGTTCCAGTCCGGAAGTGAGGAGAGGGAAATGCAAGAGTGAAAGAAGAGAGAGGGGCTGGGGATCCCGGCACCAGAACTGGGGACACCGGGAGGTGGGGACATCTGGAGACGGGGAAACCGGGATGGGGACAGCGGGTGATGAGTACACCTGGAGAGGGGGACACCTGGAAAGGGGAACACTGGAAGCTGGGGACAGGGACACTAGGAGCTGAAGATGCCTGGAGATGGGGATATCTGGAGACAGGAACATCTGGAGGGTGGGAGACTGGGAGATAGGGACACGTTCCTCATCCTGCTGAGGTTCCTCCTGCACCCCGGTGGCACCAGGGGACTCAACAACCTCCACCTCCAATGCAGTGATGCTTCACCCCGAAGTATTCCTGGTGCTTGCCCCACTGTCCCGTCCCTCACTATGGGTGCAGACCCTATGCAAACACCAGTTCTCACTGTGGGTTTATTGACCAAAAAGCTCCAGTTCCTCTGCCAAAAAAAAGAAATATAAATGCTGCACCCACCGCACTGCTGCCCTTCATCCCTTTGTCCTACATCCCATCCACGAGCAGCTCCCTGCAATCAAGACACCCCAGATCTGCTCCGTGTAGAAATTCGGGGTCAATATCTATGCTTTCCTCAGCTCCATCCCACCAAGGCACTGCTTTTCCTGCTGCTCACGGTCTGATGATCTCTCGTTGCTTTTTGATGTCTCCACCTGGAGCAAGGATGCCACGCAGACCTTATTCAGATGAATCACTGCATACACACCGAGTAATGTCAGGGGCTGCCTCTCCTTTCAGGTATTAATTTGGGAGGAGATCTTCTGTTTTGCTTAAGTACAAAAGCGTGGAGTCTGAGCTCACCGTCACTGCTCTGCCTGGGGCAATGGGCACTGAAACTGCAACAAATGATGGGCTGATGGAAGAGATGTTGCAGAGGGAATAAATCAGTGTCAAGAGAAAGGGGTGAGATAGTCCCTGCTGATAGGAAAGCATCTCATGCTGCAGAAATTTGCTTAAAAGCCAGAAAGACAAAGGAATTTTATCACAGTTGAGTGGAGGGAGAGACACTGCTTGGAGTAATCCACAGACCCAGTGCTGGGGAGGTTATATATAACCTCGTGCATTAGGACCAGAGGGATCACACAGGCTAATCAGCTGTGGGAAAGCCAAGCACAGAGCTCATTCTGCTTAGCATAAAGGGATGCAGAGGGATGGGTGCATTGCCTGCACCCAGATGGAGCTGTACACCTGCTGGGCTGCCCGAAGTACCAAGTAGGAAAATCATTTACTGACAGTGTTTTAGCCTCAGAAATGCTGTCTCTTTCCATGGGGAAACTCTGACCCTGCAGTGCCCCCCTGAAACGCTGTGGGTTTGGCACAGCCTGTCCTGGCTGTGACGCTGCCCCACGTGCTGCTTTGTTCTCTGGGTTATGAAACACTTTGGCCCCGTTCAGGAATAGTGAACGTGTCTCCGGGCACTGGAGGGCTCTCACGGCCACTTCCTCGTAGGAGGAATTTAAGCCCTGATAAGGGCACCTCTGGCTCCGGGACTCTGATCCCACTACTGGAGCACCACCAGCAGCCACACACATTCCATCTTTCAGCTACTCTTAGCTTTTTAGGTTTTCCTTGATTTTCCAAAGACTTGCCATGGGATTTCCTACAAAACCCCTATTTTCAGCCTTGACAATGCTTTCCTCCCTCCTTCTGCAGCGATGCCGTTAACCAGAGATACTTTGAGTGACAGAAGTTCCCAAGTCCGGTTCCAAACAATCCCCTGACATCGGACCGGAGCCCCAATCCCCCTCCATGCCCCGCACCGGGCTCGGGCAGGGACAGGCGCTGCCGCCAGAGGTCCCCGCACACCCGCGGAAGAGCCGCTCAGGGCGACGCGCTCCGAAAGCGCTCAGCATCCATCCGCACCTTATTTGGAGATATTGCCTTTTTTCACTCAGATTTAGTGAAGTTTTCCATCAGTCCCTTCGAAAGCCTCATTCTGTGCCGGGTCAGCTCACACCGTACCGCTCCCAGCGGGGCAGGGGCTCCCTACGGAACTCGGCCATCCCATAACGCTGTGGGGACACAGCTCGTCCCATGGCAGGGACTTCACAGCAGCAGCTCCTGACACCCCAGGTCCCTCTGGCCAAAGCTCTGCTCCCGTTGTTGGGAAGCTTTGCTCCCTTCATCTGCTTTTCTCCAGCCAGGAAGGTGTAAAGCCTGTCTGCTCCTCTTGGCTTGCAGATTGTAATAGTTGTCATCTTCTTTCCTCTCCAAAGTGTGTCACTGCTCTGCTGGCCCATAGGAAGTCAGATGATGCTGGAAAGCTCTGCATCCACCACTCATCCCTCCCTTTCTACCTGATGGTGAGTGGTGAAGCCCAGTCCTTATCGCTATGCCAGACCTGAATGCTCAGGAAGAATACATGAAACAGCACAGACGCTGATTTTTACCCAATGAGCAAATTAATTCCTACTAAATATTTCCTTTTTCATGCCTTCTCCCCCTGTAAGCTAAACACACTTTCCCTGCCCAGTTTACAATCTTCAAGCTTAAGCCATATCTGAAGCCATATCTGACAGATATTGATGTGCTTTCTGGTGACATTGTTATGGGATATTTATGACCCTATGCTTTTGTTTTGTTTTTTTTTTTTTTCGCAGTTCACACAGGTTCAGAATGAGCCCTGCGAGGTGCAAGCACTCCCTCCATGCACATCACATGTTGCAGAGCCCACTCAATCACTCCTGCATTGCAAATAGATCTTCACAGCTCCTGCTGCTGCCAGCTGCACAGCTGGGCACGGGGTATGCTCCCTCCTGAATTCTCTCATTATTAATATCACAAACCAAACTGCTCTGAGCACGGTGTCCCATTAATCATTTTAGCTCTGCTGCCTCCCCACCTCGCTTGCTCTCCGTTCTTTGGAGATGTGTGCTGCAGGGAAGAGCCAACGTGAGCACGATGGGGATGAGGACACATCTGCACAGCCACAGCTGCATTATGGCATGCCAGAGCATGCAGCAGGGGCTCAAAGGGAGGACAGGCCTAACAAAGAGCCAAAAGATGCTTACAGAGCACCTTACCAATGTGACATAACATCCTATTCCCTGAGTCTCCCAGGGATGTATTGCATGGTCCTAGGAGTGAGCTGTCAGAGCAGCATTCTACAACAACCCCAAATTATGTTCAGTGCCCTTCCCAACCTTCAGAGCAGGATGAGATCCCTTCACCACCACCTTTGCACCATGTGGGGATTCTGCTTTGCTTTTCGTTTTGCACGAGCCCTTTGCCAGGCCGTTGGGTTGCATCCAGCAGCCTCTCAGCCCCACAGTGTCAATGCCACCAGGCAGCACTGCGTCCCACCTGGCTCTCACCCCTGTACCTTTGCACACTGCAGCTCCCATCCCCGAGCAAACACTTCCCAGCCATTTCTGCTGAGTCAGAGAATGCCTCTGTGAGGGCCGACGCCGCTTCTCCACGTGGGAATGCGCTCCCGGGGAATAATTACAGGGAGTTTAAACAGGGCCGTTTGGCAGCCAAATTGCTTCACGCTCAGGCGCCCGGCCAGTGAGGCAGAGCCCAAAAGCTGCTTTTTGGCACTGTGAGAAAACATTCTGCACCTGCACCCATCGTGGGTGCGCAGCACCCGTGGGCTGGGAGCGCTCCTGGCATCGCAGCACCCAAAGTGTCTTTGCTGCTCTGTGGGCCCAACAGAGCAGAGCACTTTGCTGGGAGCAGTTGTATACTTACTGAGCATCCATGTGCACATCCTCTTTTCAGGGCTGTGCCCAAATCCAGGAGGATTTTCAGCCCCCCCTGTGCTGGGTTTGGAAGCACGTTGCATGGCAGGATGCTGCTCCCTGTAATGGGGATGATGACAGAGCTGGGGATTTGTCCCCACTCTGCGTTTCGAGGCATATTTAAAGGTTTTGAAACATCTTGGCTGTGAAATAGAGATAAGAACCGGAGGAGACGCAAACAGCGGAGGCGTCACTCCCATTTTTTCACAGCTCCCACCCAGGCTGCAAAAATAGCACCATCAGCAGCACCCAACCCCGTGCAACACACATGGACACAGCGGTGCTGGGACACCCAGAAACCAACACATACTCACATAGGAGCACAGCAAAGCACAGCAAAACCAGCGGGCACTGAGCGAAGGCTCTTCCCACTGCAAAACAGGAGGAGCATCTCAGCGTTGACTCAGTTTATTTCCGAACGGGGTGCAGCCCTTAAACCACACCTGCCCCATCAGCCCTAAGTGCCCTTAATTCCTTGGCGAGCAGTTTCTAAACCTGAATTAAGAAGAAAAAAAAAATTAAATAAATAAAAAGGAATGAAGTGGTGGAGTGATTGCAGTAATCAGATATGCCGCGTCCCCGCTGCCGCCCATCGGCCGGGGGTGGTGGGCACGGCCAGGAGAGCATCGCCCAGCGTGGGTTGGGGGAGCTGGTTTTGGGGACAGACACACGGACTGGAAAGAGACACATGGACGGTGGCAGCTCCCGACGAGGCTGTGAGTATCCATCAGAGCTTTTTCCTGGGATGAGGGGTGGTGATGGGGGAATTTCCTGAGGTTTTGGGGCTGGTGGTGAAGTTGCTGCTGTCTGCCATCCACTCGCCCGTGGGAACACCACGAGCAGCTCTTCTATCTCCATGTTTTCCTCCAAAACAGAGTGGAAAATCTCCAAACACACAGCAAACAGCCAAGAGGCCGTACAACAGCAAGAACCAAGATTTGTTGCTCCTTTTTCATCCACTTCAGGCAGGGATTGCTGCTTTTCATTACAATTATTATCTTAATTCCTTCTCTACTTACCCCAATACCACCTCATCACCAGCATGGGAGGGATTTTGGAGGTGCAGACCCCAGGGCAGGGTGGCTGCAGGTCTTATTGACAGCATCTCGCCCAGGGTGGCCATATATAATTTCAAATCATGTTGTTGATTTCTGGCACAACTGCTGGAAGTCTTCCTTGCTTACTCACTATACGAGCCGAGTTTAATGGGTTGCCATATGCAAACAAGATCTGGGTGAAGTCAGAGAAAGAATGGCTGAATGGATGAGTTCAGAGACCGAAAACTAAAATAAAATAGGGAAAATGTGTACTTTCTGCTGATCATAGCCTTTTTATTTCAGCTGAGCGTTGAACCCTCTGAGCGGCAGTGACTGCACATTTTGGGGTGGGATCTCAGAGGGACAGAGGCCGACCCCTCCCTGTGTCCATCAATATGGATTGCAGTGACACCGTCACCGCAGAGGTCTGCAAGGAGGATGACATTGGTGATGGAGAGTGAGTAGCCCATGGAGAGCCCACCACCATGAGCCACGCAGGCCGCAGGGCCAGCGTTGCCATGGCAACAGCCGCCATGTTGGCTGCCGACATCTTGTTGGTGGAGGGAGCATCGCCATGGCTGTGAGGGGCTGATCCCCGCTCCCTGCCGTGCCCAGACTCTGTGAGGTGATGGTGGCTGGCTACCCGGTGCTGCTGGTGAGGAACAAGATGGAGTTCAGCGCCCTGGGCAGTAGGTGTCCACACTACGGCGCGCCGCTCAGCAAAGGTAGTGCTTATGGGGGGCAATGGGGAGAAACCATGTTGGGGGGGAAGCTCTCACCAATTGGCTGTGGGGGCTTTTCTATTGCAGGGGTCTTGAGAGGGCACAGGCTGCGCTGCCCCTGGCACGGCTCCTGCTTCAACATCAAAACTGGAGATATTGAGGAGTACCCTTCTCTGGACTGCCTGCCTTGCTTTAAGGTGATATCTGGTCTCTTCCCCCCTGCTTGGTCCATGTCCCCTCTGCTACCCACTGCCTACAAGCATGGTGATTGAAAAGGCCATGCCCTGGTCACGGTGCTGGTCACACAGAGCTACACGTGGAATGACTTCAGGCATCCTACAGATCCTTTCAATCAACACCACTTGATATCCCTCCAGATATCCAGAAAAGCTTGTGAGCTCCCCAGAACCAACAGGCACTCACTTGACATTCAAGAATCCTACGTGCTGCTCTTGATGCGTCAGAGATTGCTGTCCTCCAACAGCTCAACAGATCAGGACCATGAGTTCCTATTGATGCTGATCCTCTCTCCTTAGAGCTGGGCTCCATTATTTTCCACCTCTGCATCCCACATTCTTTTCCAACCAGACCCCAAATTTTCCAACAGCTCACTGTTACCAGGACCCCCAGACTCCTGCACAAGCTCTTAAGTCACCATTTGAACAGACTCACCCATGAGAGCTCTTATCACCACCCTATAAGTACAGTGCATAAATATACTCTTCTTCCTCCCCCAGGTAACAGTGGAAAATGGAAAGGTGTTTGTTACAGCCAAAAAGAAGGTACTGACCATACCTGCTGCCAGTAAGCACCATCAGCACCGTGGGCTGGGTACAATTTCATTGTCTCTCACTTTCTTCTAGGATCTTGAAAGCAGCCTGAGGGTGAAGGACATGAGCAAACGATGCCTTCTCAACCGGAACACCATGCTTCTACTGGGGGGAGGTCAGTGAAGTGGTCTGTACCACATCCTCACCACAGACACTGCGAGCCACCACTCTCATCCCCAAGGAGGACTCATCTTCTTCCTCCCACTCCGTAGTGATGCATAACAGGGCTGAGATGAGCATCTCTCATAGGTGTGGCTGCCCTGACCTGTGCAGAGACACTTCGCCAAGAGGGCTTTACTGGCAGGATCATCATGGCCACCAAAGAGAAACATGCTCCGTATGACAAGTCCAAACTGAGCAAGGTTTGTCAGTGACAAAGGACTGTGTGTGAATGAGGGGCACAGCCCATGCTCAGAACCAGGTTGAGTGATCAGATGATCCATTCAGGCAAGGCAGCTATCAGGCAAGAAAAATAGGTGTCATTTCCAGCTAATGTCTCATTTCCTCCTGATCAGGGTACAGCATTAGCAAATGGTTTTATCCTCTGGCTGAGTTCTTCCCACTGAGTGTTTGAGGAGGAGCATGGAAGTGATGGGGATGAGACAGCATGAGTAGCTGTGATATGCTAGTGCAGGACTTACTTCTAATGCAAACTACTTCCCAGTAAACTGCAAGAGCACTGCTGACTATAAGAACTGCTTTAATTTCATACTTCTGCTTTGCTTCCAGGAAATGAACTTAAAAGCTGAGGACATCTACCTGAGGAAACCTGAATTCCTGTGTGCTCATGGCATAGAGCTCTGGACAGAGAAAGAGGTGCAAAAGCAGCTGAGATCAGTCCTCAGTGTTCATGCCGTGAGGAGGGGAATTGATGTGGCAGGACAGAAGTGTACCAGGAAAGTGTCTCCTTGATCTTTACCTCCTCTCTCCTGCAGGCAGTGTCAGTGGATTTCCAGAAGCAGAAGGTTCGCTTCATGGATGGATCCTCTCAGAAGTACAACCAGCTGCTCATTGCAACAGGTGCACAGTGAGTGCACAAAGCATTTGTCACATGCAACTTTTCTGATGGGTCAAAATGGTTCGTTTGTGGGGATTGGAGCTCTTCTAGAAACACACAAATGGGAGGGAGTAGGAGATGATAGAAAATGATGGGATCAAATGGCCAAGAGGCTACATGGGGTTGTGTGCTCCCTTCTTATCATCCCAGTTTTATTTGCAATCATAAGCCATACCTGGATTCTCTCTCTTTCAGCTCCAGCTTCCTCAAAGTCCCAGGTGCAGACCTGCAGAACGTGTGTCATCTTCAAACCCCAGAGGATTCTAGCAAGGTCTTAGAGCTGGCATCTGGGAAGAATCTGGTGATTGTAGGAGCTTCATTCGTAGGTACCATGCTGGAGGGGCTATTAGGTCTTGAAAAAGTGGGCCTTGAAATGCACTTCTGCTGTGTGAACTTATTAATTAAGGGTCCTCAGGGAAGGGAGTCATCCACTGTCTGTCTTGATCCCACACTGGAGTCCTGTACCTGGGGTGTTATGAGTTACACAGCAGAACCTTTCTCTTGATGGCCAGAAACGTTGAGCCATGTACAGTTCCTGGAGCAGGGCAGAGGGAAATGTGCCTTGTGAAAGGGTCTGCCAGAGAAGCTGGACTGTCCAGAAGCAAGGGGGTAAGGTACAGTAGGGAGCTACGCAGCCAGGAGCTGCTCTTTGTATTTCCTAATATCTGGGTCCATAGTGCACAAGAACAAAGTGAAATATAACAACCCATAAACGCAAAGAAAAGCAGTTAAGCATTGGCAATCCATCAGACCTGTTCTTGTCTGGAAGGGGTAAAGATTCCCCAGGAGGAGGGTGCAGGTTCCTACTTGCAGCAGACTTACCTGGGACATGCCATTCACTTGCAGGAATGGAGGCAGCTGCCTTCCTCTCAGACAAGGCTGCTGTCATCTCGGTGGTGGAAAAACATGAGTTCCCTTTCCAGAAAACGCTGGGTCCTCAGGTTGGAGGCGTTGTCTTGAAGGTTAGGAAAACCCAGTGCTATCCAAACAGCCCTGTTATCCACCACCACCACCCAGGAACTGCAGCCTGGTAGTGCCTGGCCACCTTGCTCAGAGCTCACATGTAAACCCCCAGCTTCCCTCATGCACACATTACATTTCCTAGCTCAGCCCCCTCCCTAAGCCCCATCTCATGCTGGTCCTAACTGGGATGGCAGAGCAGAGGCAGACTCCCAATGCACCCTGCAAATAAAACTTTCCAGCAGCACTGAGCAGCAGCTAAGCTGTTTGCCTGGGTTCTGGCTGGATGCTGCTGTTTTTACGAGCTTGGAATTTCCTAGTGAACACTCAAAGCAGCTTCCTCTTCCTTTTCAGATGCTGCAAAGTAAAGGAGTCAAGTTTTACATGAAAAAAGAACTCCACGAGCTGAAAGGGAAGGATGGAAAGGTCAGTCATGCCACTGAGGTCTCTGAACTTCTATTTTTAGGGGACACCCCCCTCAAATTGAGGTGTATCCCAGTGCCTATGTCTGGGGTAGCTCCTCCCATGTCTAGACCCTCATGTTTCCTTGCATAGTGCACAGTTCTGAGCTCAGAGGGCAACAGCATGCTGCTTTCCTTGATTTTCTCTTATGTTCCCAGCAACACACATTAGCTGGACAAGGTCATCTCAGCCTGAGGAAGAAAATAGAGAGCAAAGAATAAGGCAGCAGAGAGGCTACAGGAATGAGGACAGAGTTTTTAGCTCTTTGTTAATGATCCTTGCTTCTTCCCCAGGTCACAGAAGCCATTCTTGCCAGTGGAGAAAAACTACCTGCAGATGTGGTGGTGGTGGGAATAGGTAAAGTGAGCCCAGCTGGAGAGGGAGGCAGCTCTGGAAATGGGGACAGCATCTCAGTCCATTCCCATTACCCAGTCCTTCCTTTTGGTCCCACTCACTTGAGGGGCTTATGAGCAATAGGCAAGAGGAAAGAAATGACTTACAGCCTTGATATGACTTTGGCACGCTCGCTGAGCTCTGTAGGTCACTGCTGTGTTATCAGAGCACACCTTGTTCTGGGCCCTGGTTTTATTGTCACTGGGTTAGCTCAGCACCAACCCAACTGCTGGTCACTGCTGTAAGCTGCCCTGGTCCAGGCAGGCTGAGCAGGTACCAAGGCCACATGTTCACTTCAGGACCAAAGTTAGTCCCTGCCTTTACAGAGCCTTCCTGCATTTGTCTTTACTCCTTTCCTTGCAGGGGTGACCCCCAACACTGCATTTCTGAAGGGCACCTCCATCACCAAAGACAACAGTGGTGCCATCCTGGTGGACCTGGTGCGTGCCAGCTGAGTACCCACAGCTAATTCTGAATCCTTTCCCTTTCATTGTTGCATTAATGGCTTTTTGTCCCATTAGCACATGCAAACCAACATCCCAAACGTCTTTGCTGGAGGGGATGTTGTCTCCTTTCCCGTAGCACTGCTCAATGGGGACCACTCCAGCATCCATCACCAACAGGTGGCTGAGGCCCATGGTGAGGCAGTGCTTCCCAGCTCCCCTCAGACAATCAGCAGCCTCTTGAGGACCTCCAGGAAACAAAAACGTTCCCACTGATGGTCTATTGCCACAGGATCCATCGCTGCCTTTAACATGTTGAAGAAACAGAAGGAGTTGCACACTGTCCCCTTCTTCTGGACCACGATGCTTGGGAGAAGTATCCACTATGCAGGTAGGATGGGGCAGACAGAGAGAGAAATGAAAGGGCACAATTGTCCCTCTCCAAGCCAAGGAGGAACTTGGCACCACGTGCAGTCCTGCTCCTCTGGGTCAGCTCTGCTTGGCCAGGGTCTCTGCCTGCTCCCAGCCCCATGCCAGAGTCACATCCCCTCTCCTTCTTCCTTGCACTCCAGGTGGCATTGAGGTGGGGTGGGTGGCACTGCTGTACCAGAGCTCCCTGACCCCATGATCATCTTCTGCAGGCTGTGGGAAAGGCTACACAGACACCGTTCTGAAGGGCAGCTTGGAGCAACAGAAGTTCCTCATCTTCTACCTCAAGTGAGTGGAGCCACACTACAGCGTAACCAGAATGGGGCAACAATGCAGGCATCCTGGCACCCAGCCCCATTCCCTCTGCCCCACTGCTCCCATGCCTGGTGCCCCATGTCCCCCTGCCCTGCCCCAAGCTCTCCTCAGCCCACTGTCTGCAGGAGGATGCTGCTGTGTTGTGTTATGTGCACCAAAGAGCTCTGCATCCTTCTGCTTTCTCTTCCAGGGATGGCTTTGTGACAGCAGCTGCCAGCCTAAATTGTGACCCAATGGTGTCTCTGATTGCTGAAGTTTTATACTTGGGGAAAAAAATATCTAAAGAAGAAGCAGAGTGAGTGATGCCCTGAGCAGCAGGGTGATGCCTTCCCCCTGCAAACACAGAGCCCATAAGCACAGCACTGAGCTTCTGCAGCTCCCCAACGCCCCTCTTGTTTGCAGGGCCTATGATATCAACAACATACCCTTGTGACAGCAAGCTAAGCTTCATTTGTACGCTGCCACGGGGGGGCACAGCATCAACCAGGAGTTAAAGCTCAACTTGTTGCGAGAGAAATAAAGTGGAAGCAAAGCTGGATTGAGGACATGCATTTTGTGTTTGCACAGCCCTTGGCTGCTCTTTGCACTCCGGGGCAAAACAGAGGTGTGCTTTTTCCTAACCAGGGACCTGCTGGGCTGGGCAAGAGGAGACCACACAAGGTCCCCAGTCCACCACCTCCATCCACCACCTCCAGCTCACTGCTGGCAGGGAGAATTCATTCAGCACACCCCGGTCACGTTGACCTTCTGCTTTGCAGAAGCACATTTTCCCAGCGAAAGGAACTCTGAGTGAGGCAAGCTGCTCTCACAGCTGGGAACAAGACAGCCCGTGTGCAAGAGCTGATGCCAAATAACTCACCCCTAAGGACAGAAGGCTGCGAGCCGACCTTTGAGCAAGCAGCACCTGCTGGCATTGCTACAGCTGTCGTGAATATTGCATTAGCTGCTGCAGCAACTGCTTCCCAATCCAGCAACCCCAGCCCAGCTGCACGCAGCATGGCATCCCCAGTGCTGGCTGCTTCAAGGAGGAGGGCGGATGCTGCAGGAAACGCAGCCTCAGTGCTGGAGGAAAGAGTTGCATGGTTTTGCAAGGCAGCAGCAAGTGAGGCTGTGCACTCTACAGGAAGCACTGCACTTACTCACCGGTCACATGGCACTTTGCAGGAGGAAGGGTAAGCTCTGAGTGTCAGGCAAGTTCCCACAGGGACACTGTGTCAGCCTCAATCCCTCTGCTTTTATGCTCAGTGCAGAGCTGAGCCTATTTGCTCAGCAGGTGAGGTAACATTGCACCATTTTTGCGTGAAACACTCCAAGTTGCACCCCAGCACCTTCTCACATATGAAGCTAGAATGAAATCCCCGAACTTTGTGGGCTCAGTTGTGCTGTGCTGTGCAATTCTCAACCCTGAAACTGCCCCAACTTACCCAGGGGGAGCACATCACAACGACAGGAAGCAGCAGCAACCCTAAGCACCCCCCACGTGCTGACACAGACAGGGGCAAAGACGCAGTGGAAGGAGCACACAGCTCCTCCATACCACACACCAACAGCTCTGGCACGGCCACGCCAGGGAGCTGCCCCTCCTCCCGTCCCATGCACTCACTGCAGCTGCTTTGTGCCCCTCATTTTCCTCTGATTCTGTAGAAACTCACAGTTCTGCAGCTGGGCTGGGAGAGCACGGTGCTGCCTGCAGCCAGAGGCATTCCTCCATCATCCAACACAGTCCAGGGGGGCTCAGTAGCCCAGTTCCCTGCAGTAAGCAGCAGTAACCCCCCCCAAAACTACTTCCTGCAGCCATCAGCAGATACATGCCAAGTTCTTATCAGAATGAAGGACGTTGTGCAACAGATTTGCCCCACTTCTGCCAGTTAAGGGACACCCAGCTGCTTTCTGCACATCACCAGGTGCAGAAACCCAGCAGCAGCCCTACACCCAAACAGGGAGATTGAACCAGAACTGTGCAGCCTCCAGCACGAGGCTCCTGCTGTCCTTGCTGGGTCCACACACACGATTTACCCCATTACCTTGGATCCCAGAAGGCTTTACCCAACCCCCTCCTAGTGCCGCCATCAGCAACTCAAGCAGGGAAGGCACAGCATACCTGAAGCCCTGGCACTGCCCCAGCACAGGCCATAGAACAGGGCAGCCATTCCCTGGGCTGTGCATGACTCGGCCCTGAGTCAGCAGCTCCGCAGCCCATCCCGCCCAGGCAGCCCCATCCCACCACCCAGCTCATTGCAGTGCCAATTCCTGTAACAGCACAGATCAGCCCTGCTGTGACTGAGATGGACCCAAAAAAACAACCCTCTGCCCACTGACCCCCGTGGGACAGAGCTGCCACCCCTCCCTGCCACCCCACAGTCCAAAGTCACCACCATCCTCCCACCCCACAGGCAACGAATGAATGGTTCAGGAAAACACAAAGTTTAATGTCTCTGGCCGTCCCAATTCAATGCCACCCCACCACGGGGTGGGACCCCATTCCCAGTTTTATAGCCCTGGCTTTGCCTGGAGGCTCCTCATCCCCACCGGGCTCATCCTCAGCTCCCTCGGGGTGCCTCCATGGGATGCTGTTGGTTCTCTCATCCCGGTGGCTCAGGGCACGGCTGCAGCTGACATCCAACGTCGCAGCGACGAGCGTGGCTACATTCAACAGTTCTTCAACTGGCAGCTTTAGCTACTAGAGAAGGACATAAAGCTTGCCACTGAAGAACTGCTGCCGGGTAGCCAGGAGCGGGCAAAGGGGCAGCAGCTGTGGAGGAAACAACACATCAGAGCCAGCACACAGCACTGCCTGCACCAAATGTACCCTCCCAGTGCCCTCCAAAGCCGGGGCTGACATCCCATTGGGGGGTACAACAGCCCAGGGAACGCGGGGGCAGCTCCATCCCTCCCCTCCCCATAGCCAGGTGCTGCAGAGCATTCCCCTTTACCACACAGGGAACCAAGGCCGTTCCAGCTGGAAAACACGAGATAAGAAGCCCGGATCACAGAAGCTGCCATAGGGATGGGGCTGTGTGGTTCTGCAAGGAGGATGGGGTGGGTATGGTGCTCCCCAGGCTCTCACCTCCAGCACCGTGCTGGCAGGGTCCCACCGGGCTGGGGGCCAGCAGCACTCAGCCAAGGGAGAGATTTGGTGCCAAAGGAGCACCGGGGGAACGTGGGGACCTTCGGAGTCACCCGGTGGGTGCGTCGGGCCCCAATTCTTCTCTCTTTCAAATGGGAAAATCCTTTTTTTCCCCCCCCCCTCACTTTGTCTAAACTATAGGGCGAGCTCTGGGAATCCCCTAAGCAATAGAAGGGCAGTCAGCCCCAGTTTGAGGCTAACCGGGCTTAAATCGGGGGCAGCACACGGGGAACACCCGCCAGCATCCTCCCACCGATGTACCCCCCAAAAAACGTCCCGGGGTTCCCCACGGGGTCGGGGTGTCCCGGATGGGGGCGGCGGGGCCGCGAGGATGCCGCGCATTCCTGGCGTGCCGGGTACATCTGGTCCGGATTCCAGCGCCGGTCCCGGCCCTGCTCCACCCCCGCTGGGCCGTGAATCAGCACCCGGGAGGGGCCCCGCCGGCACCGGGGGGGGGCTGGGGAAGCTCTGCCGGTAACGGGAGGAAACTCCCAGCCCCGGGAGGGAGCTCAGCCGGGTTCGCCCCATCTGTAAACCACACCGTACCCCCAGCGGGTGCCCAGCTCCGATCTAACCGGGCCACCCAAGCCCGGTAAAGGCAATCCCCGCGGCCAGGACAGCTTCGCCTCCCGCCCTCCGGGGAACCCGGTTCCCTCCTCGCCCCTCCTCCCCGCCCCCCCCCGGGAACCCCACGGCCCCCTCCGCCCCCCGGGATGCTCCGCTCGGTGTCCGCCCGAGGAGCGGCCCCGGGTCAAAGTCTGCCCCGCCCGAACTCGGACTGAAGGTCACCCCCGGGGGCGGCCACCGCCCGGCGCGGGGCGGCCCCGACCACAGCCCCGCCCGCCCCACCGGGACCCCCCGCAGAGGTAACCGCGCCCCCTCCCGCACCGACGCGGGGACCGCGCCCGCACAGCCGTCCATAGAACCGAACCCCATCGAACCCCCACGCTGCACCCCGGGCAAAGGTGACCTTTCCCAGCGGATAGAACGGGGCACAGATCGCCTGCCGTGCCCCGGCTCCATACAGCGCTCCCCGCGGTGCCGCTGGACCCACCTGCGCGGAGCGGCCCAGCCCGGTACCGGCACACCGCGGCCCAGCCCGGCCCCGCCGCTGGCCCCGCCGCTCCCCCCGCCGCACCGCACCGCCGCCGCCGGCTCCCGTCTCGGATCAGCTGGCGGAGTCATGACGCAGCCACCCACCGGCCCCGCCCTTAACCAATCACCGCCCGGCACGCCGCTCCCGCCCCCTCCGCGCTCACTGCCAATGGGCAACGCGTTCAACCCGACGTCCAGCCAATAAGAAGAGAGAACCGCCAGTCCGCCCCGCCCACCCCGCTGGGCGCTGGCCGGCGGTTGCCTAGGGAACCGTCAGCCCCGCCCCGCTGCGCGGCATGCCGGGATGTGTAGTGCGGCGCGGCGCTCCCGGCATGCCCCGCGTGCTGTGAGTTGGCATTTTCCAGAGGGTGAGGAGGCGGCGGGGAGAGGGGGGGTCTTAAAGGGCCCGGCCCCGGCGGGGTGCGGTGCTGGCGTTGGGCCGCCCCCTCCCGCCCGGGGCGGCACCGCCTGCGCCTTTTAGCGCTCGCGCTGGTGACACAGCCACGATTCCGAGAAGTTGCTCCAAGTCGACGGCCAATCAGAAGTGAGCGCACGGCCCGCGCACCAATGGGAGCGCGTGAGGGGCGGGGCTTCGGGAACCCGCCTGACCCCGGAGGCTGGCAGCGCCGCGCGATGACTGGGCAACTTCCTTAAAGGGGCCGCGCCCCGACGCTGGGGGTGCGGTGCGGGCGGCCGCGCGCTGCCCCTTTAAGGCAGTTTCCTGCCCTTCGCCCCAGTAACAGCTGATAGCAATGGAAGGGGGGCGGGGAGCCAATACGCTGCTTCCACGTCCCGCCCACGTGACTCCCACGCGCGACATGCGGCGGGAACCTCCCGCGGCCTTAAAGGGGCCGCGCGGGGAAAGCTAGTGCTGATGCCAGTCGTCGGGTGCCTTTAGCAACCCCGAACACCCGGAGGGAGCGGGGCAGCGGGAACGTGCCCGCCCCGGGGGCACCCCGAGGACAGGGGTGAGGACTAGGGCCGGGGCCACGCAGCACCCGGCCAGAACCAGCTCCGCAGCGTTCCCCCCGGCGGTGTTCGGGGCACGGAGCTCAGGGCGGGGGGCTCGGGGCCGCCCCGCACTCACCTGCCGCCGGTGGGGTCCACCCGCCGCCTCCCCCCTGCGCGCCCCCTTTAAGGCCGCTGCCCGCCGGCGCGCCTCTCCCCGCTCCAGCTGACGGCTCGCGGCGCTCTGACGTCACCGTGACCTCAGCCGCCGCGCGGGGCCCCGCCGCTCTGCCCATGTACGGGCACCGCGCCCCGGCCCCGCTCCCCCCCACCGACGGCGGCGGCTCCGCGGGCGGCGACCGCTGGAGGGAGCCCGGCTCCGCGCCCGGCCCCGAGCGGGGCTCCCCCCGGGGCTGCTTCCGTGCTCCCGGCTGAGCTGAGCCGAGCCCGGTACGGGGCGTGCGGGGGGGTACGGGCGGGCACATGGTGCGGTGGCGGCCGCA